TACCAATTATAGGAAATTAAATCTTATACCACTTGAAGAAAATTAAATCTAGTTACCTAACATGGGAAGGGGAATTTGGGTCCATAGTATTCACTAACCCATTTGACAATGAATTTGTCCATAACGATACACCCCATGAAATGCACCCATCCTTTTCTAAGTCTCCAAATTCCCCGATGTCCAACGAACTTCTCACTTCCCTTTCGGGATCCAAACCTTCTTGGTACTCTTCATATTGGAAATGATCTCCTTTGGCACCCAAAAGCGTTTGACCCCATTGTTGGCTTGCTTGTTCACCTTGATGGCCACCACATTATCATTTTTCTTCTTCTTAACAAGTATGGTGTGGAAGCCTTCTTGTCCACCTTGTTGATGTAGGTGTTGGACAGCTTGCTTGTTAGATTTTTCTCTTTCTTCTTTGCTCCTCCCCCATTCTTCACCTTGCACTCATAGGACTTGTGACCTTCCTTGTGGCATAAATAGCAAACCACGATTTGTTCTTCATCAAGCTTCTTCACTCCCTGGATGGTGTTATCTTAATGAAGTTGGGCTTGCTTTGTCTTGCCTTTCACCTGAGTCAAGTCCTTGGTGAGGCAAGCCACTTCTTGTTTGAGTTGCACATTCTCCATTGCAACCTTTTGTGTGCATGTATCTACAACAACTTTCTCAACACAAATTTGGTTACACAAAGGTGAGTCTAAATATAAATCATTGCAAGAAGTTGTAGCATCCTTTTTAGACATGTTAAAGATAGAACTTTTCTTTTTAGATGCCTTGGTGGGGGTTGTACCGACGGCTTTAAGTTTAGCAACTTTATTAGTTAGCTCATCATAATGTTTGCATATGGTTTCCATTTTAGCAAGCAAACTTTTATAAGCCTCTTGTGAGCTAGCTAACTTTTCTTTTAATTTTTCATTTTTCTTTACAAGTTGCTCATCATTTATTGTGCATGCATTTATTGTTGCACTAGCCTCAAGTTGCTCAATTTTAGTAGATAGTTCAATATTGAGATTAGCAAATGTCTCAAATTATTCAAGCAAAGTTTTATATGATTCTTGTGAACTATCTAGCTTTTCTTTTAATTTTTCGAGCTTCTTTTGTTGACTAGTGCAAACTTTAGCATAATTAAGATTTTATTGCACAATTTCGTCATAAGAAGGCTTTTCATTATCACTATTACTCTCATTAGAGGATGAGCTTTCGTTACCTCGTGCCATAAGTAACATACGAGAAGAGCTTGATATGAGTGCTTGTGCCCGCGCCTCTTGTGGTGGTCCTCTGCTTCACTTAAAGAATGATCCTATGACCTTATTGATGTAAGGGATTGATTCTTGCATGCCTTCTTCTTTGTCTTGGGTGTGGGCTTATTTGGATAAACTTCCACAAAAGTGCCCCAATTCGCCGCATCCATAGCATCATCTCTTTCTTTGCTCATTTCTTTAATTGGTGAAGATGATATCTCGAATTTGGATGGACACATTATTGACATACATTGAGCCTTTGGATTATCTTCTCCACCTTGTTGATAAGTTTGATTGATTTTTTATCAAGGTCGGAGGTGGAGGAGGAAGATTGATCATCATCAATTGAATCATCATCATCATCATCTTTATCTTCTTCTTCATCTTCACTTGAGGAGCTTAAGCTTGAGCTTGTCTCAACTTGCTTGGCCTTCATCTTTTTTTCTCGCTACATGCGAGAGCTTTGCCTTTGCTTGATGAAGAGGCTTCTTCTTGACCCATCTTGCGTGACATTTCAAATGCCACTATCTTGCTAATGACAATGACCGGGGTTATGGTGCTCAAGTCCTCCATGTTGTGAAGGATGGTGATGATGCTTGCATATTTCTTTTGTGGTAGCACGAAGATGATCTTCTTCACGATGTCCGCATCATCTAGCTTTGTTAATCCTATTGAATGGAGCTCCTTGATAATTAGATTCAAACGAGAATACATATCACGAACAAGCTCATCATCATTCATTTTAAAGGAATCATAATTTTGTTTAGCTAGACAATGTTTTTACTCACGGACATTAGATGTGCCGTCATGGAGCTCTTGGAGTTTTAACCAAATTTTATGCGCCGTATTTAAAGTGGACACTTGGTTAAACACATCCATGATAAAAGATTCAAATAAGCAATTTTTAGCTCTTGCATTGAAATACATTTTCTTTTCTTCACTCTTAATGGGTTTATCAGGATTCTTAATGGGTTTCATCCCGTCACGAGTGACTCTCCAAACACCCAAGTCTACCTCCTCAAGATGACAAGACATTCTAGCCTTATAGTAAGGGAAGTTAGTGCCGTCAAAGTGCGGAGGCCTAGAGGTATCCATCCCAACCACTCTAAATAGCGTCGGCTCAACGGCGGTTAAGCCAAAGATCCAAATTGAGCCAACCGGATCTTATACCAATTGAAGAGGACCGTGATGCCTAAGAGGGGGGGGTTAATTAAGCAACTTAAAATTCAACTTCTAAACTATGGCCTCTTTTTGTAACCTTAGCAAAACCTATGTAAAAGATAAACTATCTAAATGTGCAACTACGGTTTTGCTAGTGTGTTTCTATCTCTATCGTAAAAAGAGTAATGTAAACAATGTAAATATGGAAGCTAAAAAGCAAAGTAGAGATATGCAAACTTCCATCGACGACTCTGGTATTTTTACCGAGGTATCAAGAAGCGCGTAAGCTTCCCCTAGTCCTTGTTCGAGCCCTTCACAAGGGCCAAGCTCCCGGTCGGGTAACTCCGTGCATAGCCTCGGGCCTACCCCACACGCAAGTGGGTCTCCGACGTGCCTTCCAGCAAGCCTCTTCCGGATGCTCTCCGCCGTCTTCACTATCAAGCTTCCAGCCGAAATGCCACAGGCCTTGTTCCCTCTGATACACGGTGGCGGACACACCATAAACGCGGTTGGTGTGATCTCGCAAGACTACAAGCCCCTCCGATGTACAAAAATAGTGCGCACAAACATCGAGTAGTAAGATTTATGCAAACCTCACTAAACACTGGGCCTAAACCTAGAGCAAGCGCATAAGCGGTGGTCTAATCAACATAAGCACTTAGCAAAGCACCTAAGCTATTCATCTAATAAAACACTAAGCACTATGCAAGTAGAGATCACTAAAATAGTGTATCAACATCCTTGGTATGTTTCTTAGCTCCACACCTTTCAAATGGCTGGTTGGGGGTCTATTTATAAGCTCCACTGAGAACGTAGTCGTTGGGGACGAAATCCCGCTTTTCTGCTACTTACCGGACACTTAGGTCGTCCTGCTCAGACGCGTCCCGTCGTCCCGACCGTTAGAGCCGCGATCAACTGATCGGACGCTGTCAGCGTCCGGTCATATGCCACCGGACGCGCAATTTCGTCGCTCTGGAACCTCTCTGTACTCGATCGGACGCTGCAGTCCTACGTCCGGTCGATTTGCCGCCAGCGTCTGGTCAGTACTGAATGTGTTGCCAGTGATGATGAACAGTACCATCGGTGCGTCCGATCGCTTTACTATTCAGCGTCCGGTCGCTGTTGCTGACGTCTGCTGTAGCCGAGTCATTTGATCGGAGCATCCGGTCACTTTCCGCCAGCGTCCGGTCCAGCGTCTGGTCACCTCTGTGAGCACGTTTCTTCGTGATCTTGCATCCGGCTAGGTTTCTATCTTCATGCTTGGATTTTACTTGATATTTTGAGTCTTCTCTTGTGCTTCTAGGGTCTTACTTAAGGTGTTGATTATCGGATCATCACGCCGCATTCGTCCAAGTCACGTCTTGTACCCTATTGAACTACAAAACAACCACTTGCAAATTCATTAGTCCAATTTGGTTGTGTTGGTCATCAAACACTAAAATCCAAAGTAAATGTGCCTATGGTCCATTTTTCTTACAGTTGCAAACGTTTTTATTTCAAGCGTCTTCACACCAGTGTTGCAATAATATATTCTAAATGTTTCAGCTCCTTCAGCCTATTGTTGCAGCAGTTAGTTCGGTGTGGTTGCAAAAATATGTTCATGGTATTTCAGTTGTTTCATCATAATGTTTCAGTTGTTGTTCCTTGTTGCAATAATATGTTCATGGTGTTTCAACTACTTCATCCTAATGTTGTAGCCGTTGCTTCTTGTTGTTGTAATATATATGTTTTATGATGTTTTAGTTGCTTCAATCTAATATTGTAGTAGTTGTTTTCGTATTGTTGCACGTGTTTTATTCTAACTTTCTATGGCCCTGTTCGGCTTACCCCATATTCGGCTTGTTCGGCTTATTTTTTCAGTCGGAACAGTCTTTTTCTCTCACAACAATTCAGCCAGAACAGTGTTTTTCAGCCAGTTTCAGCCAAGATTTAGCAAGCCGAACGGGGCCAGTTGTTCGGTCAGGGAGGGGCGAGCCAGGACCGACGGGGCGCGTGGTTCGCCGGGGTCTAAAGGGCGGAGGTGCTGGGGCTGGCGGACGCGGGGGTGTTGTGGCCATGGGGGCGCTGGGCATGCAGTATGCTCGTCGTGGCCGTGGGGCGGACGCGACGGGCTGCGGGGTGATTTGGGAGCGTGTGGACTCGCGCAACACAGAGGTTAGCGGGGCTCTTCGTAGGCATCACGGGTCGTCGCTTCGTCGGTGTTAGTGGAGCTCTTCGTTCGACGAAGACGCAACAGCGGCGGTCCATGCTGCTGCCCCCGTCTCGTACCATCGCCAGCGGGTCCGCTCCTTGCGCGCGTCGCCGGAGGGCGTGCTGGTAGCGTCCGGTGCCAAACTAGAAAAGGGGTCCGCGCTGAGAGAGTGCGGACTGAGAAACGAATGAGGGGGACACTAGCGTCCAGATCCAACGTCCGGTTTGAGACGTGCTACCGAAGGGCGAAGGTTTATAATTTCTCGGATCTTGAATTTTTTGAATTTTCTCTACCGTGTTGCCTGATTGCCTCCCTTACCCTTGGCGCGTTGCCGAAATCAACACCCTTCGCCTTCGAGAACGCCTCGTTCGGTCGTCCCCTTCTCTAAAATCCCTTGCCCCGCAAGAATGCCACGCTTCCACGCGGCGCGCGCACCATGGCCCTCTCCTGCTCCGCCGAGTGCGCGCTCTCCCTCGCCTGCCGACAGCCACCTCTCCCTCTCGGGCGCTGACGACAGCGCGTCGTGGCCCGTGGCCTCGCCCACATCCTTCGAGCCCGTGCCGCACGCCTGCCGCGCCGCGCTCGCCGCCTACGACGACGAGCAGCCGGGGACGCCGTCCTCGTCGCCGCTCTGCCCGCCGTACCGCCTCCTCCACGACCGCACCCGCGGGGAGGTGGTGCTCGCCGTGCGCGGCCTCGGCCTCGCGCGGCTAGAGGACTACCGCCTCCTGCTCGATGCCGGCGGGCCCGAGCCCTTCGCTGGAGGGCACGCTCACCGCGGCCTGCTCCGCGCCGCCGTGTGGCTGCTCAACCGCGAGGGCCCTGCGCTGCGGCGCGCGGTGGCGGAGGCCGGGTGCCGCCGGCTCGTGTTCGTGGGCCACTCGCTCGGCGCGGGCGTGGCCGCGCTGGCGGCCGTTGTGGCGGTGAGGTGCTGGCTCGGTAGGCTCGGGCTCCGCCGCGAGGACGTGACGTGCTACGCCATGGCGCCGCCACGGTGCATATCGCTCGTGCTTGCCGTCGAGTATGCGGACGTTGTCCACTCCGTCGTGTTGCAGGCAAGTCTGCCGAGTTTCTTGTAACTCTTTCTTGTTTGCTCGGCTCATCTATCCATTGCTTGTGAACAATGACACTGCTACAAGAACGAGTAATGGCCTCTACTACTACTATTTTAGCAATTGGCAATCATCGTGATCATACACATATGTGGAACCTCTGCAGGATGATTTCTTGACCAGAACTCCGGCTCCCTTGCAGCACATTTTTGGATCTATCTTCTGGTAAGTATGCTCTGATGACTGCAGTTTAGTTGCTATCGTTTTTTACTACTAGCACGCCTCACATTTCTTCTCCTGCGGGCATTGCAGTTTGCCGTGTCTGCTATGTTTCATTTGCATGAGAGATACGTTTGTCTCAGAAGGGAAGCTCACGGATCCAGCTAAACTCTACGCTCCTGGCACAGTGTTCCATATCGTGGAACGGAAGAATTGCAGGTATTTCTTGCCAAGTTCTCATTGGTTCTCTAAACCTGCTACACCTTTTAGGTCACTTCGATAAAGTCGGATCACTGGATGAAATTTCAATGGTGCATACGTAACAAGACTCTATCCGATTCATTACTTGCACACCTCTCTCGTCTCTTCTTTCATGCATACTTGGTAAGATAGGATCTGAACATTTCCTCAAGAAAAAAGATAGGAATTTGATAAGCTTCTGAACAAATAATATACATTCTAAATTATTTGCACCTTTGATGTAATTTAGGCACCCTTGGGGCTATAGGCTCTCCAATTTCTGTTCTGGTTTTGTTTCTCCCTGATACATTTCTTCGGTGAAATAAAATCACTTTGTGCAATGTGAGATGGGTAGGTGATTGTCATGAGAACCACCATTATGGGTGATTTTCATGCGAGTAAAGAAAAGTATTTCTCCTGGTTGGCTAGTTTCTAGCAAGAATTCAAAACCAAACTATTTACTTGACATGTTACTCCGGTTTCTGCCGAAAAGCAGAATCCATACTCTCTGGTTTCTTAGAATTTGAGTTATGGAGTCACTGCTACTTAGAATTGTAAGCCCTGTTGTTATTTATGTAGATGTGGAAGATTTCCACCGGAGGTCAGGACGGCAGCTCCAACAGAGAGCAGGTTCGAGCATGTTGTTCTGCCGTGCAATGCTGCAGCCGACCATGGGATCATTTGGATCGAACAAGAGGCTCAGAAGGCTTTATATGTGAGTAGTTCACCTTATTCTTGCAGTACTTCTCAATCTACCTTTTATGTGTTTGTTATTACGTGTTTTTTTTTCTCGAACGTGTACTGTAGCACGTATTTCATTAAGAGGAAGTAGATAACTTCCAAGCAAATACACGACGCAGCTACGAGAGAACCCTCGTAGCACATGTTACAAACCACGAAGCAAGTGGTGTGTGACCTGGAGCAGAAAGTAAGAACAAGAGAAAAGGATATAAAAACGGGCGACTGACCATGACACCTAAAACCTACGAACTGAGAAAGGATACCACATCGCAAGAAGAGTGTTTGTTATTACGTGAATTGTGTCACTACTTCGGCCATTTTGACGATCATCAGTTGATGGAGCAAGAAGAGTTGACATCGCCTCCAGCGCAACAGAAGATGCTAAAAGCGCAGGAAGCGCACTCACTCAACGTAGAAGAGGGCACAGTTGGGCTTCATGATATCGAGCATCTGATGTCTCTTGACGAGGAGGGGACTTGACAGGGCAATTTCTCCTCGTCGTCCTTGGACTTTGATGGCCCTAGCCCCTAGGACCTCTGCAACGTCGTGCAACACCTCATCGTCGTCGACGACGAGGAGTGGACCACCTGAGTGGGATGAGCTAGTGGAGGCTTTCCTGGGTGATCATGATGGAGACAATGACCTAAGACATGTCAATTGTGAAACTTTCTGTAATATTGTTATGAATCATCTGCCTTTCTCTCCCGCTGTAACAGATAGCGCCGCTTCCCGATTACATTGCCGTTACATCTCCCAGGCTCGAAACAAACAGTACCATAATTCGGCTATTTTAACCAAATTCGTTGTCACTATGGCGCTCTTTGTTTCCCACGACTAAGTGCCTGTTTAAATGCATTTGAAATGATAAAACTTTTGTCCCTAATCTTTTGCTACAAAACTTTAGCCATTCAAACTTTACATCTGGGTGTTTAGATGCATGGTAAATGTTTAACATTGTACCAAACAAAGACTGATTTGCCCTCATTTAATAACTGATTTGCTTTATTAATTGGCAACCATGCATGCTGCATGCCGGCCTTGTTGTTGTTGGGCGCCTAGCTGCTGCTCGCCGGTGGTGCTGCTCGCCGAGACGCTGCACGCCAGTGGTGTTGCCATGCCCAGCGGTGTTTACAAACAATAAAAAATTTTACTTTATTGCATAATTATTCAATAGTTCCTGGTACACAATTCAATTGTCCTCAACCATACAAATTAATCCCACACGTTACAATTAAAGTACATCATTTAAATTGTCATGTTCTATTTAACAAACCAATGGCTATTTGATCACGGAAACCATTCATGATTGTAGATTCATCCCTTGCTGGTGGTTGACGAGTACGTGGCTGAGAGGCCGATGCCTCCGGTGAAACATAGTTCTCATCACGATCACAACGATCAAAGTCCATATCCACTATTCCACTCGTTCTAATAAAGTTATGGAGTGCCATGCATGCAACGATAATTTGACTTTGTTTATGAGCAGCTTGTTCGCTTGCTCGTATACGATCGTGGATTATAAGCTGAAACAATATTTTTCTCTCACACCAAACCAGCCAGCAGTAAATAATCCACAATCGTTTACGACGAAACGAACAGGCTGGAGGTGCATAACTTGCATATGCAACAAAATCCTCCACTTCATCTTCAAAACTCCAAACGACCTCTCGATGTCATTTCTAAGAGATAAATGTGCGTAGTTAAAGATCTCTTTTTTACCTTGTCGCATTGGGCCGTCGCAGTACTCTGGAAGATGGTACTTGGTTCCCTTGTAGGGCGCAAGATAACCCGGACGGTTTGGGTAGCCCGAGTCCACCAAGTAAAATTTTCCTACACAATGGAACAGTTTGTAAGTTTCAACTAGTTAAACTAGAACCTGCAAATGCTGCATTGGAAGGTGTTTACCTGTGGGTGGATGTGGAAAGACGTGGTTGTACTTGGTCATAGCATCAGTGAACACTCTCATGTCATGTACAGAACTAGGCCATCCAGGAAGAACAAATGTGAACCTCACGTTGGCGGTCACAGGAGGCACGTGAGGGCCACGGCCACCATCGGAGGATGACGACACGGCGCGAGCGGCCATGGTGCCTCCTCCACCGCCATTGTGAGCCGCGCGTAAGCCGAGGGTACGACTACCGCTGCGGACGTGAACGGAAGGGGGGCCCATGCTATCGTCGATGCCTCCATCTTGTGGGCTGGAGCGAAGGAGGCCCTCATAGCCCGCCGAGTTGAGGTCAAGTGCCGCCATGCCCATTCGGGGAGAATGACATTGCTCGAGTCCGGAAAGGGATATGCCTCATCGGAGAAGATGTCGTAGCTATCGGCGGGGGGATACGGATCAGGCTGTGACAGGAAGTCCCTAGTGTGGTCACTGTCGCTGTTGTAGCCGTCCATCTGCGCCGCGTGGATCTAGATCTGGCGATGGGGAGGACAAGCTAGAGCTATGCGCCAGGGAGGAGCTGGATCTGAGGGCCGGGGAGGAGGGGCTGGATATAGGCGGCGGCGGTGACGGGCGAGAGCGAGAGCGGTGAACGGAGCTAGGGTTTGCACAAAGGAAGAGAGTGAGAGCGACGGGGGGTGCGAGCGGGGGAATGGATAAGGGTACCGAGCGAGCGGGGTGGGTGGGTGCGGACATAGTTAAAAGGTCCTTATTTGGTTTTGGTAATTGAGTGACAATCTTAGGTGGACTAATATGTGTTTGAGTGAGATACACGAGTGATTAGTCCACATGTACTTGTGTGAGCAACTCATGCCATAACGGTGAAGATGGCTTGGATTTGTTGTAAGGCTCACACATGTGATGAAGGAGCTCATTGCATATGAGACATAACATGGAGTCATGTGATTAAGGTGGAGAAGATCAAGACAAGACTTGGCTCGACGGACCGGTTGTAAGTGTGAAGGGCAAGTTGAGTGATGACTTGGCGCCGATGGACCGAGGCAACAGTGAAGAGCAAGTGAAGTCAAGATCGATGAACCAATACGGTCACGTGATGATATGGAGTGGATCATATCATTTGGTGATTGGTTGGTGCATGTGTTGCATCGACATCAAAGGAGATGAAGTGGAATGCACAAGGTAAAGGTATAACCTAGGGCATTTATTTCACCGGTCAAAGGTTGTGTAGAGAAGTGCATGACCGGGTTTAGGATAGATGGACGTACTATTAAGAGGGACAAACTTGTTTGTATATCGGTCATCTAGTGCCACTTGAGCGATCTAACTTTGCATATGTGTTAGGATCGAGTGGCATAGTGAAAAAAGTGCTAATCCTTTGGGAAAATATTTGTGAAAAGCTAACACATGTGCACAAAGTGTTGTTCACTTGATGGTGTTAGCACATTTGTAAAAGTGAAGAAGTTGGTGAAGAAGTAGAGGCGAAACCGGATTTGGGGTGCTGCCTAGGTGGCACCACCACCCCTTGTCCGGTGCACCGCCATCCCTTTGGCGGTGACCGGCTAGGAGGCCGAGAGCAACGTGTTGACCTGAGGGCACCGCCACTAGTTGTCCTGTGGCACCGCCACCCCTAGGGCGGTGCCTACATGGACTTGGCCGAGCACAACAGGAGTTGGGGTGGTCACCGAAAGTGGCGGTGCACACCACCATGGTGAGGGCGGTGCACCGCTGGGTGCGGTCTGGTGCCACCGCCTCTTTTCGGCAGAGAGCGAGAGAGCAGGGCTGGTCATCGCCATGGTCACCGCCATGGTGACGGTGGTGCACCGTCCTAAATTTCCAGAGACTGAGTGTTTTAGGATTTGGCTGGTGGTCACCGCCACCCCTGTCCGGTGCCCATGACCAGTCAACCTAGCCGTTATATGACTGTTGAAGGGGCACCGCCACCCCTAGGGCGGTGCCACCACCGGCGTGTCCGGTGCCCTTGCTAAAAAGGGATCTTTGCTCCAACGGCTATATTTGGCTTGGGGCTATAAATAGAGGTTGTGCTCGGGCATTTGACTGGCTGAGCACCCTTGAGCCTTGGTGCCTTGTGTAGGTGTGTTTGGGAGCCCTCTAACTCACTTGTGCTTGATAGTGATCATCCGATAGAGTGAGTGAGCGATTCTAGTGCGATTGCATTGTGAGGTTGCATCGAGTGGCACTAGGTGATCGAGTTGCAAGCTAGTGGTGCTTGTTACTCTTGGAGGTTGCCACCTCCTAAATGGCTTAGTGGCTGTGACTCCATTGAAACACGCGAGAAGATTGTGCGGTGCTCTGGAGGAGGATGTGTGAGGGGGATTGTACTCACCCCATGGGGGTCGCGAAGAGCAACTCTAGTTGAGTGTGTCATTGATCTACTCTCACTTTCGTGGTAGGTTCTTGCGGTGTTCGACGTGCGGGCTTGGCGGGTGATGTCAATTAGCCGCCGAACCACCAAGTGTGCGATCGACACAACGGGGACGTAGCTTGGTGGCAACGAAAGTGAACCTCGGGAGAAAATCACCATGTCAACATCGTCTTCATCATCTTCTCGGTGGTTTGCATTTCATGCAACAAAAGATTGTATTACTTCCATTATACATTGTGTCTGTGTAGTTGTTCTTGTGACTAGTTTAGCTTTAGTAGTTTACTAGTTACCTTCTTGCTTGTGTAGCATAGAAGTAGCTCCCTTGCGTGGCTAATTTGGTTTTAGTAACCTTGTTAGTCACATTGCTTAATTTATGTAGCTAAGTAATTTGCGCTCTCTAATTAGACATTAGTTGCCTTGTTATTGAGCATTGCTAGTAAGCTTAGGAGCTTTGTACTTTTGCTTACTAGTTGTGTAGGAGCTCCCCCGTGCTTGAAATACTAGTGGCATAGGTTTGTGTGACTTTACTCCTAGAATTAGTTATGTGACCTCTAGCTAGCCCGGCACCTTAGTTGCTTGTTTAGGATCTTTTTAAGGTACCTGATAACTTAGATAGAGGGCTGTAGATTTGGCTAGACCGATAGTTTTAATTTCACATTTGTTACGGTTAGCAGACGCGATTGTTTATATAAAGGATCTGCCATCTCGACCCTACAGTAGTTGGCGTCAAGCTCGCGCCCCTAGGCGTTTTTCTTAGTTTTGGGCCTCTTGGGTACCAAATGGCAAAAATTTAGGAGTCCAGGATTTGCTCTTTTTTGTCCATGCTGTTTAGACCCATTTTGCAAAAAGATGAGTTAAAAGTGCTGGCCAAAACTTTTGGCCAGGAAAATAAACAGGGCCTAAATAAAACCAATGACTAAACTTTAGTCACCCATATTTAGTTCTAGTGACTAAAAGTGACTAAAGACTATTAAAACAGTTTAACAAACAACAAACTACCTCTAATGATTGTCTAAATCGGGGGAGGACCAACAATAACAAGGGGTATCCCTTGTCCACTAGGCACTTTAGTCCACTTTTAGCTACTTTTGGGTGACTAATGTGACTAAACTATTTTAGTCTCTTTTTAGTCAGTTTGTTTGATAGTTTAGTAGCTAAAATGACTAAAATTTAGTAGCTAAACTTTATCTGAGA